CTAATGCCCCAAGTTAGCCTGGAAGACTTTGCGGCCTGAGGCAGGCAGGCAACTTGGAGGGGGCTTCCTCTGAGTCCTGTACTGTCTGTCCACCCCAGTGCCATGAAGGTGGAGAAGGGGAGGGTGGAGCCAAGTTCCAAGGAGTCCCAGGACTGAAAACCCTGCAGAAAGAATTAGAACAGTTTGCCAAGCTGCTAAAGCAGAAGAGGATCACCTTGGGGTATACCCAGGCTGATGTGGGGCTCACCAGGACATTGCTCTTTGGAAAGGTTCAGCCAAATGACCATCTGCCACTTTGAGTCCCTGCAGCTCAATTTCAAGAACAAGTGTAAGCTCGGGCCCCTGCTGGAGACATGAGAACCTTCAGGAGATGTACAAAGTGAAGACCCTGATGAAGGCCCACCAGAGAAACCGGAGCATGGAGAACGACGTAAGAAGGAACCTGGAGAACATGTTCCTGTAAACCCACCCTGCAGCGGATCAGCATCATCACCAAGGAGCTCGGACTAGAGAAGGCTACAGTCTGAGGGTGCTTCTTTATTTGCCAGGAGGGCAAACAATTAAGCATTGCCTATTCCCAGTGAGGAGTACGAGACACTTCAGGGTCTCCTTTCCCAGGGAGGCCTCTATCCTTTCCTCTGTCCTCAGGGCCCGGTGTTGGTGCTCCAGGCTACAGGGGCACCCACTTCACCATGCTCTACTCTGAGATCCCGTTTCCCAAGACGAAGCCTTTCCCTCTATTCCGGCCACTGCTCTGAGCTCTCCCATACATTCAAACTGAGGCATTAGCCCCACCCAGGGATGGGGGGAGCAGAGGGAAGGGGGAGGTGGTAGATGAAGAGAACCTGGAGCCTGTTCCACCATAGTTTGGGGATTAAGTTCTTCAGTTACTGAGAAGGGATTAGAAGCACAAAAGGGTGGGGGACAAGGAAGTGTTGGGGGAGGTAGGTAGTTGAAGGAAAGATGAAGTTCAGTGATCACACTGATCATGAGCCAATCATTCATCATTTTGTTCTTACATAAAGAAGTCTGGGACAGCAGGAAGAAAAAAGGAAGAGACAGAGAGAGAGAGAAGGAAGGAAGGAAGGAAGGAAGGGAGGGAGGGAGGGAGGGAGGAAGGAAGGAAGGAAGGAAGGAAGGAAGGAGGGAGGGAGGGAGGAAAGAAAGAAAGAAAGAGAAAAAAGAGGGGAGAGGAGAGAGAGAGAGGGAGGGAGGGAGGGGAGGGAGGACAGACAGACAGACAGACAGGACAGAGGGAGGGAGGGCATCTCCCTACCAGAAGAGAAGATCAGATCACACAAGCTTTGAGCACCTGAGTAATCTAACCAGCGGGTTCCATGATGTGCTTCCTCCGCTTGCCTTTAAGAAGCAGAAGGACACACCACTGCAAATTACCTTGAAGATGCTTCATCTCAAGCTAGATCCTAGCTATAAGGAGCACTTACTTGTAACTTGGTCCATGGAAATAAAGGTCCTTCTTCTAGGGTGTTAGCTTTAAAGATGGAGAAACCCATAGAACTGAAGGTGGCACATTTTCTAGATGATCTGCAAATCCTGTTGCCAGTCACAGGGCAGAAGAGTTCACATGGAAATTCACTGATGACCTCAAACCCTTTAGCTGACTATGGCGATCTCCTCCACCTCCCTCTCACCCTGTCTTTATGCATGCAAGTGTATATATGTTGTAGGATAGGCACACCACTAATTAGTTCTTTCTCTTGCTTCCTCATTATTGCTAATGAGGAAGAAGAGATTAAGAAGATAAAGGGCCAAGAAGGAAAGGCAAAAGAGAAGTCAAAGCTGCTTTTCCTGCCTAAATGGACCATCAGGTTTAACCAAGAAGTGCCAGCCTCCCTGTGTCTCCTTGGAAGCCAATCTGAACTTGACCTCTGCAAAGCTGGCTGTCTTAAAGGCCAAAGTTGCTCAAGCGGACCCCAAATATATGAAAGAGCCAGACCAGTACCAATGTCACAGACAAATGCAGAAGGAGATGGACGTGAGCTTCGTTCAGCTTTATTTTAGAATAGAAGTGTAAAGATTTACTAGGGTAGCTGGACTCACTTCTTAAGAAGTTTCAGTGACTGAAGCTGGAGAGATGGCTCAGTGGTTAAGAGCACTGACTGTTCTCCCAGAGGTCCTGAGTTCAATTCCCAGCAATTCCCACATGGTGGCTCACAACCATCTATAAATAAGATCTGATGCTCTCTTCTGACATAATGACTGTATACATAATAAATAAACATTTTTTTTTAAAAAAAAGAAGTTTCAGTGACAAGAAAAGTGATACACATTCTTGATGAGCTGGTTGATTACAACTTGGCACTTATTTAGAAAGCACTGTGGATTGTGGCAACTAATCCATGCCATGACAAGGGGGAGAAAAGAAAGATGGGAGGTGGGGAGAGAAAGAGAGAAAAGGGGAAAGAGGTGGAGGAAAAAAGCCAGGGGGAGAAAAACCATCAAGGCGTGGCAGGGAAGAAACAAGGTTATCTGTGTAAGATAGTACGTGGATTATGGACCCCAGGTCCTCTGCAACCCCTGTTTATATGTCCAAGTTCTAACCCTGGTATCTTGCAATGTGAGTATATTTGGAGAGAGGGATTTATAGGCGAGATGAAGATGAAAGTAGGCTATTCAAATGTGCTCTGATTCAATGTGATAGATGTCTTCATAAATAGTTGACCACACCAAGAAATCATGAGAATAAAAACATAATGATGGCTGCCATCTTCAAGCAAGAGGCCTGAAGAAGCCAATCCCGCTGCCATCTTGACATTGGAGATAATAATTGAACATAGCCTCGGAAGCTGTAAAGATTAACTAAATCCACTCATGCAAAACAGTTACAGCAGCAACTGGCATGAAATGGGCCCTCAAGAAGCAGCAACTGAGGTAGTTACTGATAAAAAGCTCCGGAACACATCAGGAGACCTGGTGAGACACACTCAATTGCTGTTAACAATAGTGTCTCAATGAAAACCTCACCACCAGCATCTACCAGTATTTTGTTATGGTTGTTTGTTTGGTACGGGGAAAGAATTCAGGGTCTTGTATACCAGAAGTATATGTTCTCCCTACACTTGGAGGCCTAAGACATGAGTTTTGATTCTACAATTCGGCAGGTCAATTCAGGCAACTTATATTAGGAGGGACATGGAATTGAGGCCAGCTGTGCCTGTGATGCAGCCTGTGCCTGCTCATGCCATCTCACAAGGGAACACTGATCAGAATGACCCCTTTCTATTAACTCAGAAACAACACTGCCTGCCATCTCTCAATTCACATCAGCCCAAACGGTCCACGTAAAAGGTGCTTTAGGCTCCTTGAAGGAAAGGGTCGAGGCCATCAAAGGTACCATCTAAGTAGATTCAGATACAGTAAACCTGGGGTGGGGCTGGAACCCCAACATTTCTAACAAGCAACACCCAGTTGATGCTTAATTTCAGGCCACACTTTGAATTATACACTTAGAGCAACTGAATTATGAGTGCCCAACACATGGGTTCTCTGGGGACAGTCCGAGAGATGCCCTGCTTGGGCATCACTTGGGGGTTTGTCGGCTACTGTCCTGTGCCAGGCAGTTGCTCTGGCAGTGGGACCCAGCAAACCTTCTTATTTGCTTGTTTCTTTGTTTCACGGTGCTAGCGATGGGAACCAGGGCCTTGAGTACACTAGGCAGGCATTCCAGTACTGAGCTAAAGCCACAGCCCAGCTAATAATCTGATGATGAGTCTGGAGCATAGTGAGACGGTTCAAAACTCATTGTTCTAGATGAACTTTCACTTTTTTTTTTTTTTTTTTTTTTTTGGTTTTTCGAGACAGGGTTTCTCTGTGTAGCTTTGTGCCTTTCCTGGAACTTACTCGGTAGCCCAGGCTGGCCTCGAACTCACAGAGATCCGCCTGGCTCTGCCTCCCGAGTGCTGGGATTAAAGGCGTGCGCCACCATCGCCCGGCGAACTTTCACTTTTAATGTCTACTGCTGTATTATATAAATCTAGACCAGCACAACTTACAGTATTGAGGACCATCTGTAGAGAGAAGATGATTACATTCTTCAGAAGGAGCAGCGTGTGGCCAGATTTTTGGGATTAAGGGCCTCAGAGTCTGGTCATAACTGTCACTTACAATTCAGGTGACATCCTGAATGTCACTTTCTTCCTCTAAGAAACAAGAGGCTGTAATACTTGTCCTATCTACCTACCTAAAAAAAAACAAACAAAAAACCAAAAAACAAAAACAAAAAATAAAACAAAAAATTATCACATCAAAAGACCTTGTCTTGTAAACTACAAAATTCTATCTAAATCAATGGTTATCAATGGTTAAGCTATGATGTTCATCAAGGCAGCAAACTTAAGTCATGAAAGCATAAAGCAATATAACTCACCTTTAAAGGAAATCTCCCCCTGGACTTTCAATAAGTGTCTCATTAGTTTCTGTAGGAGTCTAGACAGTATACTATTCCCCCAGCCTTGTACCTCCTTCTTCTCCTGAAGTTGGAGGTGGAGGAGTGACCCACTCTGCCCTGGGGATTTGAGTGCATGCAGAAGAAATATGCTTGCTCAAGAGGATCCTTAGTAAAATAGACAAGTTTTGAGGCTCCCTAGCATGTTGATCTACATCATTGTGCCCCTGAAAACATCTAGAAGACTCAGCCTAAGGGTATGATTCTAGACCTCTTTTTTCCCATAGAACCTCTCCAATTTCTAGATAACATTTTGGTTTTTCTAGTTCTGATCTAAACCCTTGCTGTAGCCCAAGCCTAACAAACTACTCCTGCCCCATCAAGCCTCCATTAACTCCAGACATGACTGTGTCAAACATTAATATACACAAATTCACATCACTTGGCCATAAGGGCAAAGACTTAGGAGAAACATTGGATACAAATTCAAATCACTTGGCCATAAGGGCAAAGACTTAAGAGAAACATTGGATAGCAAAGGAGTAAGCATATAGTGATTTAGATTACTGATTCATTTCTAGAAGAGACTACTTACCAGCCGGGTATTTACCACAGGAAACAGCAATGCCAGAAGAGCTCCATTCAACATGTGCATCTGTAACCTGTAGGAGAAAGAAGAGCAACAGGTCACGAGAGAGAAGAAAATGCTGGAGGTTGAGCTAAGCCATGTGGGAGAAGTATCCCTCTGCTTACCCAAAGGCAAAGTATATGAAAATCAGTATATTTTGTGTTTATTACCTGAAACACATACTGTCTCAGAATCCCCAGACACTTCTTGAACACACTGTGGTTATAACAGTTCATAACCTACCAAGGTCTGTGTTTCCTAAACATTCAGTCAGCCCCAACCAATGGCTCTAACTGCTGCAGCATTTGAAAAGTACAATAGCTAAATGCTTGTTGTTAGTATAGAGGCCTGTTTATTAGAATGCAGCTGCTTGTTTAACGAGCTATGGTCAGTCTTTCGGCCAAAGATCTGGACAGAAAGCACTGGTACATGCTAGGGAGCTGTCTATGAGGGTCCATACCGTCATCTAGGAGGCAAGCTTCCAGGAACACTTGTGAGGAACTATCTAGATTAAGGTTAACTTGAGAATGCCTGGGATGGACTATCAAAATTGGGTTAGCTGAGGTGGAAAGACCCACAGTGACTGAACAGGACCATTCCCTGGGCCTGGGATCCTAGACTGTGTAAAACAGAGATGGAAAACTGAGCTGCACGTATTAACTTATTGCTCTTTGCTCTTGGCTGTGGATGTAATGTGAGCAGTTCTCTCAGGTTCCTGCTGCCTTGACTTCCCGACACTGGGGGACTATAACATGGAATTGTGAATAAAATAAGTCCTTTCTCCCTTAAGTTCCTCTTGTCAGTGTGTTTAACACAGCAACAGGAAAAGCAACTAACAGGATCTGACTGCAGTGTCATCCACACTGTTTGCCGGCTGTCTAGCCACACCTTTAGTAGCTGCTGCAGGAGGTGGGGAGGGCAAACAAGGAAACCCTCAGACTTTCTCTGATCTAGTCTATATATGAGACCCTGTTGCTTAAAGGCGAAGCAGTGCTAGGGCCTCAGCTTGGAAGAGCACTTGATTAGCATACATCACAGCATCCCATCCCTCGCATTAACAGAAGAGGGGAGAGGGACAGAGGAAAGAAAAGAGGAACACCAAGTAAGGATAGTGTTTCCAGGTCTCGATAGCAGACTTCTTAAAATGCACACTACACATCCTTCCTGAGTCAAGAACAATTAACCCAGGAACAAGCCCTTCTTGTGAGGGCTCTGAGGGGGGATTTAAGCAGCTTTCTTCACCATTCTGGGTTCTTACTTGAGAGAGAGACAAAGAATGAGTTTGTTCCTCCTGAAGAAAAGCTGATTTGATGGGTCATGGACAACCTGAACTGTGCCTCTCAGACACACAACAGTAAAAGCACTAGCTGAGTAAGACACAGCTAAGTAAGATACTGGATGGCTTCTGAGTCACTCCCCTCCCCGCACCCCCGCACCCCCGCCCCGATATGCACACTACTCCTAGGACAATAGATCTTAAAGAAGAACCCTACTAGGCATGTCCAACTTTAGGCCATGGGCTACATGTGCCAGGTAAACTAGAAATGTGGTACAACAAAAAGTCATTAACATAAAACATAATGAAGGTACTTCTGCTATTGTTTCTGTAATGCAGTTGTGTGATTTTCAAAGGAGAATTTTGTAGATGACAATATTGTGTCGTGGCATCCAAAGTTTGAACACACCTGCACCTAGACATTTGCCGCTCCTCTTCTAGCTCCCAGAAGTGGCCTGTGTAGCCCAGAAGATGGCACAGAAGCCCCTGACTGCCTTTCATTCCTGCTAATCTGTTTCTTCCTGCTATTCTTTGTCACCAAGGCCTCAATGATGGTCATGATGCTCACTCAATACATTTCCGGAAAGTATCAAATGAATTGCTTTGTGTGAACCTTCTCACTTAATTCTGATAGCAAATTTCTAAACAGGCACTGTGACTTTTCCACCATTTTGATATGGAAACAAAGTTCACTCAGAAAAGTTAGGTGACGTGCTCAAATGCCAGGACTCACACTCAAATCTATCTGATATCAGACTTCAAACTCCCATCATTTAGCACTGCCTTATATCGGCGCCTCCCTCCCTCCCTTTCAAATATGACCTCAGATAAGGTGGAAATGTGTCTCTGTCCTTCCTTTGGTTCCAGGCATCTCTCTACCTCCTGCATCATTTGTCCTAGATTCCATATGACATTGAGGGTGGTTTTTAGGGTGAAAGACTCTCTAGACATACAGGTTATTAAGAGTAGGCAGACCAAAGCAATGCCACTTCTTTACCTCAGGCTGACTAGCAGAGTTTTCAGAAAGGCCACCCAGACACCCTGTGCTCTGGAAAAGTGATTTTAGGTCTTGAGAAAAGTCGACCCTGGCCTAATATTGCCACTTAGCCCTCTTCTGTGACAGCCACAGTGTAGATTCATGCTGGGAGAGGAAAAGTCTCATTGATGATCCATGTACCACTAGAATCCGGGGCCAGGCTTTGCCACTGACCTCAAAGGAAAGACGACATTTGTACAAGGCCAGTTAGGCATTTGGATATCAAAAGTTACATCTTGCCGGGTGGTAGTGGCGCACACCTTTAATCCCAGCACTCGGGAGGCAGAGGCAGGTGGATCTCTGCAGGTTCGAGGCCAGCCTGGGCTACAGAGTGAGTTCCAGGAAAGGTGCAAAGCTACACAGAGAAACCCTGTCTTGAAAATCCTATAAAAAAAAAAGTTACATCTCAGGGATGACAGAATGGATTCCAAGTGCCCATGGGAGGCCACTGATAAAGATAATATCAAGTAATATTATTAAGCTAGTGATAAAATTAATACGAAGACAAAAAATCCCATATAAAGGCAAACCTTGTTTGAAGTTCTCAAAATTCCTTATAGAAGGAATGGGGGTGGGTAGAGTGAATTATATTTAATACATAAGAAGGACTTGTATAAATAATTAACAAAAATATGGACCATGTGTAAATCACTGGGCTAAATATTCAAATATATTTAATTCAACCCTTCTAGGTCTTCCTTTTGTTTTGTTTTTGTTGTTTGTTTGTTTGTTTCGAGACAAGGTCGAACTATGTAGCTCTGACTGTCCTGGAACTCACTCTGTATTTCTTGCTGGCCTTGAACTCTGGCTGGCCTTGAACTCACAGAGATCCACCTACCTCTTCTGCCTAAGTACTGAGATTAAAAGTGTAAGCCACTACACCCAGCTTACCTAGTTTTTTATTATAATGGTCATTATCATCTTGATTTCATAACTGAGAAAACAAAAACTCCAAATAATTGACCCGCCCAAGATCAGATGGTAATAAGTCAAGTTTCAAGCCTACATTTTGCCACTGTACTCATCTTCACACATGGAATGACATATGTCCTGTCTAACTAGTTACTATTTGTATTATAATCAGCAAGGGCTGTGTGAGGTGTTTCTTAATGTTTTAATTATGCGTGTGTGTGTGTGTGTGTGTGTGTGTGTGTGTGTGTGTGTGTGTGTGTGTGAGAGAGAGAGAGAGAGAGAGAGAGAGAGAGAGAGAGAGAGAGAGAGAGAGAGAGAGACAGAGCGGGGAAAGATCACTTGCTTCATATATGTACAGCCCTGGGTTCTATTCCCAGTTCTCACACACACAAACACGCACGCACGCGCATTACCCATTACCTTTATGACTGGGATAAGTATGCCCTCTCCAGAGGATCAGTCCTACAGACAGAAAGGCGTGGTTGTGGGCAGGTCTTTGACATGTAAACTAGTCAGTCCACAGCTGTACGTCCTCTGCATATACTCCTCCACTTTAGCCATCCCAGGACCCGGTGCCATGCAACTAAAATCTACCCCTGCAGTTAGAGCTTATAGAAATGATTCAAACTAGGCAATCCTGAACCCTTCACCCAGCTCTGCCTTCTCTTGCCTTCCCAGAGAATCTTCATTGACAGTGGCCTAAATGTTCCCTTCTTCGTGACTGCTCCATCTTGATGTCCTTCCCATGCGGTGGCTCTACTTGGAGGACTAAATCCTTTCAAATAGAATGAACTTTGTTGTCTTCCATCTCCTCTTTAGCTACACCTGACTGGCCACGTGGCCAAAGAAAAATACAAAACAGCATTACTACTCTCACTCATACTTCCTGGAGGCAATGTTTTTATTTTTGTTTTATGTGTATGAAGGTGTGCCTGCATGCATGTGTGTACACTATGGGGGTGCCTGCTGCTCCCCAAGACCAGAAGAGGGTATCAGATTCCCATGGAACTGGTGTGAAAGGCCATTGTGAGCTGCCCTGTGGATACTCGGAACCCAACACAGATACGCTACAAGAGCAGCAAGTGCTCTAAGCCAGCTAAGCAATCTCTCCAACCGTCTTGTAAGCAATCCCAGTTTATACTGTGCTCTGTTAGCTCAGTTGGTTAGAACCTATGGCTCCACAGAGGAAAGACTGCAGCTCTCACTAAAATGATCTACGGATCCCAAGCAATTTTGACCAAAATCTCAGCAGTATGTTTTGTGTATGTGGATAAACTGATTTTAAAATGTACGTGGAAAGGACAGAGGGACAGGAATAACAACCTGATTTTAAAGTTACAGCCGCCAAAACAATGTGCCATTGGTCAAGAACAGAGCCAACAATCAACAAAGCAGAACACTTCAGAATCAGACTACATTGATATGCTCACTATTTTGACAATAGTGTAAATAGTATTATGACAGTGGAGCATTCACATCACCTTCGAACAGGATTGCTAAACCACCACAGCAGAATTCGTTACACTGAATGTAGAGAAAGTGGAACGCTCATTTGTTGTGGAAAATACAAAACTACTACTTCAGGTAAGTTGGGCAGTATATTATAATTTTTTTGCATTTTTTACCACTTAAAAGAAATTTTAAATTTAAATATATTTTGATCATATTCTTCCCCTCCCCCCAAGTTTGTCCAGTTCCTCTCCTCCTCCCTCCCTACCCAACTTCAAGTTTGTTCTCAAAAAACAAACCAAAAGCCCAATACAACAACAAAACTCCCAAAACCTAGAAAACAAACTCCAACATCACCCAA